GTCATTGTCCAACTCTCTGATGCATAACAAGTGATTGCGAAGACCGTGGCCTGTATCAGATGCATCTTAGTCTCCAGAGAAACACCATTGCTCTTCAGTACTTTTGGAGAGGTCCCTAACAGCAGACTTTCCCATCGCAATATGCCTTTTAAATTTCTGGCTTCTGGTGCCGAGAGTGTTGACTATGGAGCCAAGCAAACTAAAGCTGTGAACAATCACAATCTCTTCACCATCCATCCTGATGCTGCCAGTTGGCCCAGTGGTAAGAATCTTTGTCTTCTTCACATTGAGCCTTAATCCATATTGGAGGCTGCAGTCCTTGACCCTCTGCAGCAAGCGTTTCAGGTCCTCCTCAGTTTCAGCAAGCAGGGTTGTGTCATCTGCATATCGCAGATTGTTGATAGATCTTCCACCAATCCTGACCCCACATTCCTCCTCATAGAGTCCAGCCTCCCGGATAATCTGTTCTGCACACAGGTTGAAAGGTATGGAGACAGGACACATCCCTGGTGCACGCCCTTCCCAATTTTGAACCATGCAGTATTTCCTTGCTCTGTTCTGATGGTTTAGAGTAGGAGAGAAAGACCCTCAACAAGATGAATTAACACAGTGGCTGTTAACAATGGGCTCAAGTATATCAGAGATGATAAGGAAAGTGCAGGATAGGGCAGGGTTTAGTTCCATGGTTTATAGGGTCGCTATGGTTCGAGGGCACGTAACTTTCTGTGACCAAGTGGGCACAGGAAACGAACTTTTGATGTCGCGTGTGTGACCTCCCCCCTTGCAGGTGCCATGGTAAAGCCCCTGAGGAGAGGAGCGTGGGTGACAGCAGCAGGGGACAGGGAGTGGGGACTGAATGGGCATTGTGGCTGGGAACCGGAGGTTGGCAGTGATTATCAACGCAGAATTTTCCTCCTGCCCTTACCAAAACATTGTGCTTTGGGGTGTGAGTTAAGAAACCATGCACATGTAGTGATAATAATATGCGCCACATGCACTGAAATTCATTTCTGGAAAAAGCACATTTTATTGAGTGGACATGTAGGCCTCCATTCACAGTTAACTGTGGAGTGAAGAATTGCAGGCAAAGGTGTTTATCTAGTAAATTCCCAGCACAGGAAAGAGAGCTGGTCTTTCTGCGGAGGCTCTGAGACCCTAGGCCTCTTGAGGAGGCAGCTCTGGTTTCAGCGGCTGACCTGGACCCAGCTGGACCCTGCCCCTCACTCCCCCAGTTGCCTCTCACTGGTAAACTGAGCCAGGGGCTGGGAGGAGCCTGCCTCCCTGGCTTAGTAGGGAGTCAAGGAGGGTTAACACAGCACTGGCCAGGGCCACAGTGTGCCAAGTGCTGCCACACAGGAAGCTGAGACCCTCTGCTGGCTGGGACAGGAGCTTCTTGGCCCTTGAGGACTATTTATAGCCAGGGGCCCAGGCTGCTGACCTGTGACATTCCCATATGGCCACCCTATCTTGGAGGAGGGCCAGTGCAGTACACTGTCTTCTTCCTCCTGCTTGAGCTGATCTTTCCTCACCCCTAGGAGCAAGGTGACTCATCCCTAGGAGCAAGGTGATTTTATTTTCTTCCTCTTCCGGCTTGCCTGTCCCAGCTCCTTAGGCACTGATGTGGTCACTATCCCCTGAGAAGGCCCTTATTTGATGAAAGAGATTTGACCTTGGAATGTCAGGCTCCGCCCACCTAGGAACCTGCACACCTTTCCCTCCCTGTCCCTGTTTAGCCTTTGGGCCATGCTTTCTCCTCAGAGCCTCCAGATGTCAGATCCTGGTTAGCTGTCCCAGCTGCTCTGGGGGCAGCTGAGAAAGAGGTGCATGGTTTGAGAGGGACAGAGAGATATCTCAAGCTGATATGTCCCCCACTGGAGCTTGAGAAAGGAGGCAGGGAAATACAAAGGTCACAAGGAGCTGAGTGATCTGAGCCTGCTATGAAAAGGTATAGCTGTCAGCAGATTAAGTTGCTGCTCCCCCAAAGAAGGTGCTGAGGGGATGGGGGAGGGAAGGCTCAGAAAGGTCACACAGGGTGGGGAGGAGCTGGCAAGAACTAGGAACCAGGAAGTCTCTGGGGAGAGTGGTGAGCCCTGGGGCCAGAGATGCCAACAAGGCAGCAACTGTGGTGCCAGGGCAGCCTGGGGGAGGCGGAAAGAGGTGGCCAGAGGTTTCTGAGGACGCAGATGTTGCTAGGAGAACTTAGAAGGGAGTTATTTGAGATCATTGTATTTTGTTAACACACACTGAGATCCACTGATGCTGTGTGGGGACTGGCAGAGGTCAAAGTCAAGGGGTCCCAATGTCAACTCAAAAGCCCAGACTGCTCCCTGGCAGCCCTTGACTCATTTCTCCTGGCTGAGGCACTCCTTTAGTCAACTGGCTTGGGGACAGGATTCCTGGTCTGCGTGAGGCAGTAACTGGTGCCCTCCCCTCTCCTTTGCCCTCTTCTCATATGCACACCCCTCAAGCAGGCAGCAATGGGGCTTGATTCTGCCATTCTCAGAGGACAGGGAGAAAGACTCTGCCTCTGGGGAGAAACAGGGTACTCCATTTCTGGCAGAGATGTGGTATGTGTCAAGAGGCTTCAGATCTCTAGAGGTGCGTAGCTGAGCCCCAGAGCCTTTTATCCTTCAGTGAAAAGCTGAGAAGAGGCTGCTACACAGAGTCCCAGAGATCCTGGTGGCCAGGTGCCCCAAGTTTCTGCCTTCTTCCTTGGGGTAAAGAAGCAGCCTGGCCTGGGCTCCAGCCCCGCTCACATGTGTTCTGGATGATTCTGTAGGCAGCAGATGAATTCACCTACTGGCTGGTTCTCGTAGCATACCTTGTACACAGCCATGAACAGGGGGAACCTAGTGTGGGGAAGAAACTCAACTGAACCTCTCACTCCCCATTCCCCCTTTATCTCTCAACAACACACGGCTCTACACCAGTTCCATTTCCCAACAATAGTGGTCTACCCTATTTCTATCTACTCTCTTACCCTCCCAAGTTTGATATCTGGCTCTTAATTCCTGCTTGCTGAGAATTTTAATCTTAGGTATGTATGTATATTAGGGAGCTCTGATGGTCGGGTGCTAAGAAGCTGAACTGCAATCCCAGAGGCACATGGTTCAAGGCCACCAGCTGCTCTGTGGAAGAAGGATGGGCAATTTCCTCCCATGCCATTAATGGCCTTTGAAAACCTGCCGGAAGGTCAGCTATGGGTCAGTTCCAACTCAATGGTACATAACAGCAGCAGAAGCCCTGGGTTTAATATCAGCTTGTTAATTTCTTTGCTCCCTATCTCCCTAACTGAATTGCCTACATGATTTACCTGGCTTAACTGTGTTGCTCTGTTTGGGCAAACCAAATGTACCTGTGTCATCCACTGTAAAATGGGACCCGTATAACAGAATAGTGAAGGCGCTCAATAATTTCCTTCCTTCCCAGGCTGCTCCCCTTACCAAGTGGCTTTACCCTGACCAGTCATGAGCTGATCTTTTAAACACTGATTGATCCATACTCTTTCCTAGGGTTCTTTCCCACATCAGTAAAGTTCTGCTCTGATCAGCCCAATCATCTTCACTCTCTTTGGGTTCCCTTAAAAAAAAAATACCTTGAAGCAGACTCCATAGTCTTCATACCTTAGTGTTAGAGGTATGAGGAAAGACTCAAATTGGGAGTGATGGACAAAGAAGTGATAGAGTTAAATAAGTTCCAACTCCCATAGCAGAGAACAAGGTAGAAAAATAACAAAAAAGAGAGGCTGTGCAGAGGGACCCACAAAATGTAAAGAGCGCTAACTGGAAGAAGTTCAGAAGACCTAAATCTGATGGCTTGTATTACCCAGGATCAGTGGGCTTCTCTCTAAATTCTGACTTCTCTATCTCTAACCACAGGTGATATAGTCCTCTCTCCACTTCACAGATTGTAGAGGGACCAAGGTGATGATGGATGAAGAGAACACTTGTGGCTATTGCCACCTCAGCCAGCAGCATTGCCGTAGATACTTACTTGTCCACCAGGCCCTTGTGCTGGAGAATGCTGTGTAGTTCCCGAGCTGTCTGGGGCCCCTGCAGCTTCTGCCCATTCAGCATTTCTTTTTCTAGCTGCTCAATGGACTGTGAAAAAAACAGGGTGGGGTAGGATGGATAGACGTGGTAGAGGAGGGTTGTTAATAGGAAGTGGAAAGTCCTGGGCTCAGATGGTAAATTGAGTCTTAAGAGGAAAAAGGATGAGAATATTCAAATTGTTTTAGTGTTTGCTCCTGGAGGTATCAAAGCACCTCGACCTGGATAAGGCCCACCCTTGCCCTCCATTCTCCCTTCTCCCTGCACCCCACCTTTCCTGTGCGAGCGAAGGCCTCCGCCACCTTGCGGTTCCGCCCTCCATAGCAGGTAGTGATGAGGTCAGCAACACCACAGCTCTCCAAGAAAGTGGCAGAGGTTACAGGGCCGCTACAGAAGAGTTTGGCAAAGGCAATCATCTCCATGAGCCCCAGCCGGATCACCGCCGCCTTGGTGTTATCGCCGAAGCCCAGTCCGTCACAAAAGCCAGCCCCTACGGCCACAATATTCTTTGGAGAGTAGAAGTCACAGGTGAGAAGAGGACTCCTTGGCATTTAGAGCCCTCAGCACCTGCCGCAGGCTCCTTACATCAGCCCTGGTGCATCCCCTGAGTAAGTATAGCATATGACCCCTAAACTAGTTCTACCTTTTGGTTTTCCTGTTGCTGTACTTTGTTTTTCTTAGTTTGCATTTGTGCTTCCTAGCTCACTAGCCTTTTCTTGTGCTGCATCCTTGAGGAAATTTCTGAAAACCATTCTTCTCTCCCACTGACCCACTCCTCTGTGGCCATTCTGAGGTCTATAGCTCTGAGTATTGTCCAGGATCCACAGTTCGAATCATCATGTTGTCTGAGTGTCCTGAATGTCTTGGTTGCTACTGGTCTGGAAGCTCCGCTAGGGTGATCTCCTCTTCCCACTTAGCCATCCTCAACCAGGAACAAAGATGGCCCATAACAGGTTAGAGGGAGAAGGGAAGGGCCCCGTGTTTGATAGTAAATAACTGGCGAGCATGAAGAACCCTGGCTTTGCTATTGCAGTTCTTCCTTACGTGTATTGTGTTTCATGGGTACAGGTAGAAAATGACCAACAGTAAGACCCTGGAGCACCCCCAACCTTGGGTAGCTCAACTATACCCTACTTTGTGCCCTTTTCCTTATGCTATGGTTTCTTCTGTGCCCCTTTACCTTTAAGGCTCCACAGATCTCCACTGTGTCCACTTCTTGAACCACAGTGATGCGGAAATTGGGTGTCTGCATCAGCTCCTTCAGGAGTTGTCCCTGGGCGGGGTCCTTGCAGCCTAAAATGGGAGGAGGCAAATCATTGGAGGGAGAACTCTGACTTCTTTCCACACCTGCACTAAATAGAATTTACAATCCCCTTCCCTAAGGGTTTCCCAGCCCTCCTTCTAATACTTGGGACTTCTTCCTGTTTCTACCTTATGGAAAGAAGATGACTAAGTGGGTGGGGAAAAGTATGGGAAGGGGATGCAGTCAGACTGCACTGTGTATGTGGGTGATGGGGAGGGGCTCTCACCAATGGTCGTTTCACAGAACTTCTCCTCAGCCACCTCGCCGGCAATGTTGGCCCCCATCAGCACACTCATGGGGATGCCAAGGCGCTCCCCAATCACTTCAGAGATGAGCTTCAGCCCGTTGGGGCCCTCGTCTACCCCCTGGGCACAGGATGGAGCTCAGGCCAGGTGCCCATTGTACCCAAATGAGGACTTCCCACCCAGAAATTCTGTCCCCTTCCAAATCTCCTGCTCAGCAGTGACTGTCTCTAGAGGTCCTGCCCCATTCCAACCCAGCTAAAATTTGTTGTGAGAAAAGTAGACAACATGGGAACTGCGAATCCATCTGAAAATCCTGCTCTCGGTTACCTTCAGCCCATCAACTTTTCCAGAGTGGCATAGCACCTCCAAATCGCTCAAATTCCAGATTATTCCAGTTGAACTTCTATCCCAGTGGTGACTACTCTGAACCAGAACCAACTCTCCTTTTCTGCTCTACAAACCAGCCTACTTTTCATGTTCCTCTTCACACTTTATAAACTCTTCTAAAACTATGTCTTCAAATCAATCTCTTTCCTACTTCCTAACCAACTGTCCTCTTCCCAGTAGACCCCAGCATCTCTGACTTCTTTTTCAGGCCTCTCTCTGGAAACATTTGGCACAGTCCCAATTTCTGTTCTCATTTTGCTCACACTAAATCTCACAATAGTTAGCACCACTGCCTCCCCATCCCACCCCCGTCAACATGAAGGTATCTCTGGCACCTTAATAAGAGATATGCCAATCGTGTTTGCCTTCAGATGGCCCTTAAGCTGGTCACAGATCTTGACGATGAACTGATGAGGCACCACAAAGATCAGGATGTCAGCATCCATTGCAGCCTGAACCACATCTGGGACAGCAACCTGTAGGGGTGACCAGGTGCTCAAGGGCCTGGCAGATTTCTCTGCTGGTCCCTATGGAACCCCATTCAAAAGGTTTGGGAGCCAAAGAGCATGAGACTCATGGAAAAGAAAGGGAGGTTTGGGGACTGACGCTGGAAGTGCCTAAACTTGGAGGAACAAGACACTCAATTCCCTTCCCCCAGCCTTCTCAGTTCCAGCTGTCCTGGACTTGGGGACTCCTGGAAACCTCCTCCCAGATCTCCTAGCTCTTGGCGGTGAGACAGTAAAGGAGGCCAAAGGAGGCCCTGGCTTGGCAGAGGGAGAGACTAAGACTTAATCACTGTTCCTTTGGGCCCCTGACTGGGAATGGGGAGCCTTAGATCTTCCTGCTTCCTTCCCTGCGTTAGAGAGCCACAGGGATTTGACCAAAGACCTTTAGTCCAAGAAACAGCTTTCAAGTCTACTGATAACCCAGTGAATGAGTAACAGGAACCCAAGGCCAGCACTACCCGGGACCCTAGATCAGGGAGCTGGGGAACAAGTCTTTGGTTGCCATGAAGAGCAGTTTCTTCATCTTTTCCACCCTTTCCTGCTGGGAGCCTTTGAGGAGCAGTTTGGGACTGCCCAATAAGCAAGGTGAGCACAGGCTTACTTATGCTTCTTAATTAATCCATAGTGGACAATTTTAATGGTTTTACATCAGATTCTACTTCTAGATATAGCTAGCATTGTCTGTCTCTCCCAACTCGCCAATATCTCCCAACAGAATCAAAGCCTCTTTGAATGTACAGTCCTTGACAAGGGTAGACTACTCAGTATGCAAGCTTAGCTCATGCACCTTGCCTCTGGGACAATCCATCCCTGGTAAGAGGGGAGGGAGGTGCATTCAGGTTCTACCCAGTCCTAGGCAGAGTCTGAGTGAGCCACTTGAGGGCTGTGTATGGGGTTCAGCCCTCTTGATATGCTTGTCAAGTCCGGCTCTTACTTAGCACAGGAGAGACTCAGCAAACCTAGCACAGACCACCCCCTCAGCAGGAGGCACCTGAACTGTGAGCTATGTGCTCTGACTCCTCAGCCCACCCTCCCTCCCTGCACCTTACTCTCTCACAGGGTGTTGGGGCTCACCACATTGGGGGGCAGCTTGTGCCCTGGCAGGTATTTGACATTCTCATGTTGCGTGTTGATAATCTCTGTCAGCTTCTTGCCCCCGATGTCTTCCTCAAACACCCACATCGTCACCCGTGGGTCAAAGCGTGCCAGCTGAGCTGCATTGCCACCCACGATCTTGGCAATGGCTGAGCCCCTGTGTGTGGGGGGAGGCACAGTCTAGTGGCGGAGTGGTGGGCATAAGGCAGCCATGCCTGCAGCTGGTCAGGAGACCCACTTGGGATCTCAGCAGCCCACCAGATGATTTACTTGCTGCCTTGTCAGCCCACACCCATGACTGTGTCCCCAGTGACCTGGCAGTAGAAAGGAGACTTAGTCTGTCTCAGATTTGGCTGCTAGAGAAGGGGGGGTCAGCCCTACTGGTTTCTTCACTTTCCCAAAACAAATCAGGCAGGGAGTGCTCTGCTCTGGAGAGCGCTGTTCCTATGGAGAACCTGTTCTTACGGAGAACAGGTGCAGCTGCCCAGCAGGCACAAGCCAGAAGAGTTTTGGGTACTTGGGCACCGTCTGCCCTGGAAGGAGGGAGGGTGGGGGTGTAGGTACAGAAGCACAAAGCAACAAGGCTGGAACAGGAATCTAAGGGCATATTCTACCCACTCTTTACCTCCTGCCTGCTAAGCCTCCCGTTCTAAGCCCCTCCATACTTGGAGGTACTTCACCCTTCTACATCCCTTGACAAAGCTGCTTACCAGTTGCCGGAGCCTACAATGCAGACTTTCTTGCCAGCCATGGTGCCGTTTCTCTTCCCCAGCAGGCTCAGTGCCACACTCCCCAGCTCCTCTGCCTGTGAGGAGCATTTAACTCTAGCACACGTGGGTGCAGCCAAGCCCCACCCTCATGAGGTGGGTGGAGAGGCAGGCGCAGGCGCCCAGTGAGAGGGAGTCTGACAGAGCCAGGGAAAGGGGAGACAAGGGTAGAAACAGGTGGGGGACAGACCAGGTTTTTCCTCTGAGATTTGCAGGCTGACAGTCCTGACAAGTTTCTTCCCTTGGCTCAAAACCTCTTGTTAGGTGTTGTCAAGCGAAGTACAACTCACAGCAATCCTATGAACCACAGACCTGAAGTCTGTCCTGTCCTATGCCATCCTTGTCATTTCTGACACACTTGAGCCCATTGCTGCAGTCACTGTGTCAGTTCATCTCACTGGGAGTCTTCCTCTTTTTCGCACCCAGTTTGCCCTCCTTACCCTTTGGTCTCATTTTGAGGTTTGCCAAGAAATAGCCCAGATAAGAAGTGACTGATTATTTCCCATTTCTTCTTGTCCAACATGAATAAATTATATTCAGGCCCTAGCCGTAGACATGATAATACACATTATTCCAAAGGTATAAATTGCTCTTTGCTTTCCCAGGGCCTCTAGAATGTTCTACAGGTGTGTCCTACACAGGATCAAAGTCACTGGCCCCATACCCACTCAGCTGCAGGGCTTGCTTTGGACACAAACCAGCCCAAGGATTGGAAGAGACACCAGGATTCCCAAAAGACATCTCGGTCACCAATAGTGGTCAGTTCACAGACTCACAAAGAGACTTTTCTTCCTCAGATGACCCTATTCAAGTTCCAGGAAGGGAGGGTAGGAAGGTCCAAGTTGGAGGAATATGGTACCAAGCAGACCACAATTCTTTCGCAGAATCTGGTCTTAAAGGAGAGAAAACCAAGAGGCCAAACTGTACACTTAGCCCATGAGCGCCAGTATTTTCTGCTGGGTTTCCAAGCTACTGTTATTATACAGGACTTTCCTTGAGCTAATCTACAGAAGCCAAAATGGGAAAAGGAAGCAGGCTCTGAGGTGGCAGTTTTCCACCCAGGCAGCCGTAACTTCAGTGAACCTTGGTGGTCTCAGAATGCTATGCTCAGAGGGTTATGATTTGGGGTGAAGGGGAAAATAGAACAAATTCAGCAGTTCAGGATTCTCCATTGCCCACAGCCATCTGTTTGATTAAGAGGAAGATCTGGTTTCAAGGCAGATCTGGAGAGTGGAGCAAGAGGCCCTCACTCCAATTGTCTGTGCACCTTGGCCTAGAGGGCAGACAGTACTGTGTGCTCACGAGCTGACCTCCTGGCTTGGCTGACTGCTGAGTGGGTGTTTCCACTCCCCTGGGCTGTTGCTGGCCCACAGCAGGAATACGCAGCGGGGGAAGAGGGGATTCTGTGTGCAACCACAGGGAAAGGGTGACTGGGCAGGAGGTCAAGATGGGGGAGAAATGATTTTACAAGTTTCAGGGATCCATGGTCAGGGAGTTCCCATAGAACTACATACAATCAGTAGCTTGCAGTTTTTCTTAGAACATAGTTCCATCCTGTGGAGCTAACCTCCCACAGATCCACTCACTCCCTTACTGCACAGGCAGTGCCAGCTGAGCACTGATGGGTGATGGGAAAGGATGTTTCTGTACTCAGCATGTTTAACGGGAACCCTAAAAAAAGGACTTAATGTATAAAGTGTCCTCTTGGTTTTTTTTTAATTCCCTGAATGCTCCTTTTCCATTTTGCCTGTATAACCCTTTTAGATAGTATAGAGACCAAAAATCTGAGTGTAGTCAGAATTGGCTGATCCTAGAGTGTTCTGTACCACTAGCCTTCTTTTCCCAAGAGCAAACTTTTTTATTATTTGCTTAAAATAATGGTTCATCAGCTATTGATTATGTATGTGATTATGTTTGGTAAGAAGTGGCCATTTCTATACCTTTGATAGTTTTTTCCACTTCATGTTATTACCTCCTTTTCTCTTTAAAATCTGATAAACTCTCAAGTTCCAGGTTTGGAACAGTGGGTTTAGTCACACACTAGAGGCAATCCTTGAACACTCCCATCCATGAAATGAAAAGATAAATTTTAAAGTACAGGTTTGGAATAAGACTGTACTCATCCTGCATTCTAAACCCCATCTTTGTTGTTATGTGCATGGAGTCAAAACTGACCCATAGCTGACCCTCCAGCAAGTTTTCAGAGGTAGTTAATTACACAGGAGATTGCTCATCCTTCTCCCACAGAGCAACTGGTGGATTAAAACTATTTGCCTTCACGATTGCAGCACAGCTTCTTACCATTAGGCCTCCAGAGCTCACAAGAAACCCCTTCTTAGGCAGAGCCAAGCTGGTTAATGCCAGTGGAGAGAATAGTGAGCAAGAAGGAAAACAGTAGGGACTTCTCAGATATTTCATGGGCTTTTTTGATGGGAATAACCACTCTTGGGCAAGTCTTTCAAACTCTGCTGTAGGACTGGTTGCCTACGGTATGAGGCATTTCCAACTTGGTCAGATATGGTATCTTATTCAGGACCATGAAAATGGTAGCCTACAGAGAACAGCAGTCACAGAAAGGAAAAAAATGTATGGCTGTACAGGCCCTAGCCCATATCTACATTGCCATACTGGGGGAAAAGTAGACTTCTCTAGAAGAGGTCAGGCTCACCAAGCCCAAGGGCATTCATTCAAGGACAGCTCACCCCAGCCAAGAAGGCGGCTGGCTATGCCCTGGGGAGCTCAAAAGCAGACAAGGGAAAAGACAGCACCACTTGTCTGTTTAGTACCTGCGTAACTTGAATGTGGGGCAGAATTCTCAAATCCACACAGACCCAAGTCTGATAATTGAACCAACACCCTGGCTTGCTGGAAGCCCTAGAGTTGATTGGACCAACTTAAAATTTGAGAACCTGAGGTTCATTAGAAGGCAACTTTATTTTCCACTGTATCTGCAGCACCTAGTACTATGCCTGGCACTGTGCAAGTATTCAATAAGTATCGGTCAAATAAACAAACACACAGCATGAATGTGGCTAAAGTTACTGGAGGAAAAAGAGCTCAAGGTGGAGCTCTCCCTCAACAGGCAGGGGCACCCATCCTTCAGAAGATTCTTTTATTAAAACTGGGTGACATCAATAAGGGGACAGTACAAAAAAAAATTTTGGTCCATGAAAAAAAAAACCTCATAATCATTCAGTTAATAAAAACAGTTCTTTTCAACAGGGGCACTGCAGGGCACTGAGCTTCCTTCTCATGGTGCCAGCCAAGAGCTGGGTCAGGGCTCAGTTGCCCCAGGGACAGGCTATCCAATGCCACTGCAGGGAGAACCTTTCAAGGGATGGGTATGGCAGGAAGGGGGAAATGGGGAGAAAGTGCTGTCCCCAGTGTGGGACAGGCAAGGATAAGGAACTAAGGGACATGCTCGCAGGAGCCTGAGGAGGGGTGAGGAAGCAAGGGCTGTCAGTTTTCTGGGTTCAGAGCCCATGCTGAACGGAATTCTCCCCTCTGTGCCCAGCTGTCTCCCACCCTGCTGTGTTGAGTCTGCGAGCCTGGGAATATGCTAACTTGGGGGTGATACAACCTGGAAGAATCTGAGGCTCTCCTGGATAGATGCAAAACCATCTTAACTCCAAGGGGCCACGATCACAAGATCCTGCTGCTACCTGAGGGGCTTGAAGCTTTGAGGGCAGGGGCTAGGGAGTCACGATCCTGTGAGGCAGGGGTAAGGGAGAGTCACAAACCCAACTCAGAGCTATGTTCCAGCCCTAGGCGCTTTCACTCCTCAGTGCCCTAGAAGTCACCAGTGGGTGTCAACTAGGCAGAAAAGGGACAGGAAGACAGAGATGGCCCAGGGCTTTTACCCGTTTGCTTTTAGGCCTGTTTCTCCTTTAAGGGATGGGTGCAGGAGGTGGCGGCAGGATGGAGTGAATTAATGAGTCTCACCTCCAAGCAATAGCAGGAACAGCCTCTGCTAGTGATGACAGTACCCTAGATCCTGGGGTTCTGACAGGGAAAGGCAAAATTAATCCACCCAAATGCCCAGGTTAGGGCAAATTCTAAAAGGGGCAGCTAGAGGGAATATGATGGGGAGGGACAATAGTTAAGGAGCAAACTCCAATACTGATGTGGACCCCCTACTAGGGAATAAAAGAAGTACTAAGATAGCAGGCCATTCAGAGGGCTAGGACTGGCCTGGGGCTCTGGAGCCCACAAATCAGTATTCCTTCAGTGCTAGAGGGCAGTAAGTTCAGAATGTGCTCTGAACCTATGGAGAAGAAGGAAGTTGGATTCCGTTTTGGGGAGAGCCTAGATCAGCAGGCCTGAGTCTTGGAGAACGGGCTAAAGCTCCCAATTCCAGGGTCTCTGAAGGGCAGGATCAGTGTAGTTGGTCCCCTTAAAGACCACTTGACCTTAGGCCCAATCTATTCTGGGCACTGATTACCACTACAGGTTCTCTCTCTAACACTATCTAGAGGTCCTATGTAGACCAGGGAAGGATAGAGGCACATGGGAACTCTGGGACAAATGGAAGCTGGGGAGTAGGAAGGGATGGGGTGGGAGAAGAGGATAACAGGCGTCTTGTAAGACAGAAATGTGAGACCCTCTTCATCCTGGTCTTGTCCTTGTACCAGCAGCATTCCCTGGGAGGCCCCAACCAAGACCAAGGCAGGTGGCATGGGGCAGGCAGCACAGGGCCCAAATAAAGGATTGGTGCAGCGAAATCAGGGCTGTGGATGAAGCCCTATGTATTTCGGATTCCCAGAGCTTGTTCTAGTTCTTGTCGCCTCTGCTGCACCTAAAGAAAAAAGAGCATAAGGGAGGGGAAGATGAAGCAAGCCCTAAGTTAGTACCTAACACTATTGCCAGGAGTGCTGACTCTCTGCCTTCTGCCATCCTCCCCTGTGCAGCACCCTGCCACCAACCTTAGAATAGAAGTATCGGCACACGGCCTCTTGAGCCCAAGGCTGGAAGTAGAACTCAGCTCGACGTTCTTCCTCTGGGTTACCCACCACATCAGTCATAGTCTAAGGGAAACGGGCCAGAAGATAACAGACTTGTTTCCTTCTTTCACACTCCTTTCAGCAAGCATTGTTCAAGAATCTCTGCTGCTACCTTTTGCTCTTGTGCTCAGCCTCTGTACTTGGTAGTCATTCATTGCAGGAAGAACTCAGGGCAAATTTCATACATTCTGTGCTTATTCGGACCTTCCTGTTTAAACTTTCGGATGCTCCCCTCTCTAGGAAGTATCTCAACTCCTAAATTGTGCGTGTAGCTTTGTGTCACTAGTCTAGCCTCAATGACCTCCCTTCTATTTTTAATTATTTTATTATTGGTACTAGAAAGAGCAACATCTTATATAGTCGTACTTTCAAATACATATTGGGGCTAGTTTCTCCAAACAGAAGGTGTACTACATTGAGGCGGAGGTCAGGCCTTCCATGGCTGTATTCCTTACAGTATGGAGCACAGTAATAGCATGTGTTGGAGCATGTGTGCTCCAACTCACAGCAACGTCATATACAACAGAAAGAAGCCTCACGCAGTCCTATGCCAGTCTCACAATGTCTGCTGAGCATAAGCTCATTGTTGCAGTCAATCAGTCCATCCTGTTGAAGGCCTTCCTCAATTTTCCCAAGCATGACATCCTTCTCCAGGAACTGGCTACTACAATACTTAGTACTAACACACAGCATATAGTAAGTACTAAACAAATTGTACAAACCCTGAAATGTGGTAATGAAAATTTGATCCCTTACTTTTCCCTCAAGCTCTTCTTTAGGGACACAAGGCTATAGAAATGAATGTGTTCTTCTGTATTTTTCCTTGTGTTCTTTGTCCATCTGTTCTTTACCTTAAGGTCCCGACATTGGGACTGGAGCCAGTCATTGATGAAACCCTGAGGGTCTCTGGCAAAACTCAGCATGAACTCCCGCTGGGTCTTCAGCTGATTGATAGTTTCTATTGTCTCATGAATCTGAAAGGCAGAGGGAAAAAGAATAACATCATCAAACTGAGAAAATGCAAGTTAAATGGGAGCTGAGACTGATGTGTGCACATGCACTCCTAGGACAGGCCTTCATTGCTTCTCAGAGGCCTTGCTGTGTGTCCCACACTTGTATTTTCTCAGCACATGGTCCTTAAGCACATAGTCCTCAGGTAACATTCCCTTGTTTCTGCGTCTTTATACACTCCAGGTGAAGAAAGATTTCCTTTTAGTCACAATTAGCGTCCACTCTTAGCCCAGAAGAGTCCCAAACATTTGGACAAGATCAAACTGGGAGGAGGGTAGAGAGAATAGTGCAACAATGAATGAGTGGAAGCCCAAAATCTCTGTAAATGTTTATGAAAATTAATAAAATATA